ACCTAGGGGTGGTCCTTGACTCCTCTGCTTTATTCTGTAGATGAACTACTGGAATATGAGGAGAAGAAGCGGCAGGCAGAGGAGGAGAAGCAGCCACTGCCTGAACTGGTGCGAGCCAAGGTGCCTTTCAGCTCCTGCCTAGAGGCCTATGGAGCTCCAGAGCAGGTGGATGATTTCTGGAGCACAGCCTTGCAGGCCAAGTCTGTGGCTCTCAAGTGAGTGTGTGTGAGTTACAGCTAGGCTGTGACAGACTGGCAGTAGCTGCATCTTTGGGGACTTCTTTTAGTTGCTTGGGGAAGAAGTGTTAAAGCTTTGTAGTCCTCCACACCCTGGACCCATGGAACATTGAAGAAGAGAGGGAACCAGTCTGCCACTGCTGAAGTGCTTGCCTCCAAGGGATTACAGTAGGCAGAACAGCAGTGCTATTTAAATCCTTACCATCAGATTTCAGTTGCTGAGGGGCTATGAAAATACAGTGAAAACCCAGAAAACTAGCAGCTTTTAATCTAAGTTCAGAATTTAGCTTTAAAATCGGTACTGGCAGTATGGCAACACTGGTCTTGCGTGGTCTCTAAAATTTCTTTCAAGGAAGTTTGTAGCTGTTAAAGTTTGAGCAAGACACTGAGTGTAACAGACACGTGAGTTATTTTTAAAGAATGCTAAATAGCAAGGTTTAAAAAACAGCTTTGTCTCACTGTCTGCAACACATGCAACAGAGTAAAGCTGTAGTGAGAAGGTTACAAACTTAAGCAGCTTTTTGCTGTGATGCTACTAACTTCTTCTGCAATGAAAGAGTAGTCCTCAGAGAATTGGAAGTGTTTTTCTAACAAATATTCTGTTATTAAGCAATATCTACTATACACAAGCAGTCAGTAATGCAATCACATTGAAAAGTAACATTTTGTTTTGCTTTTTGGTGAGTTGTGTTCACTTCGTGAGCATTAGCACTGAACATATACTGCTGCTTAAATTAATTTTACAGCATGTTACAATTATCCCCCAATAATAAGTGTCTCTCTTATTACAGCTTCTCCCTTCACAGACATTTCCCTTTTGTTTCATAGATTCCAGACATCCTCTCATATTGTCTGACTAAATAATATTCAGTGAGATTCAGTTAACTTAAAATTCACTGCTTCTGCTTTGTATCTGAAGAAGTGCTCTTGTGCTTGAAAGCTTATCAGTTCCTACAGCTGTATCTGTCGGTCTAATAAAAGATGTTATTGCCTCTACATTCCTTAAGGTTTAGACTTTTAATTAAATACTAAAAGCTGAGGAGGCTTGCAGGATTGGAAGGTAGAGAACATGTACTATTTTTCCTTGTCCCCCAGCATTTTGTAAATGTTGCTTTCTGTCTTGTCAGAGCATCTGCTTTAGAAATGGTTCTGTGAGCAGCTTTAAGCTCAGCACAGGAGAGCTGCAGAGATATGCTTATCCCCGCCTAGGAGGTGCCTCCACCCTACTCGCTGATTTCTTGAATCAACTAGATGCCCTCAATCATTGCTGCCAAAATATTTAAAAGTATTATTTATCTCTTTCAGAACAACACGGTTCGCCTCTTTCCCAGATTATCTGGTGATCCAGATCAAGAAATTCACTTTCGGTCTGGACTGGGTGCCCAAAAAGCTTGGTAAGAAGGACGAGAAGTACTGAGCGTATAGGTATTGGGAGTCATATATGGGTATTGTGGTCATCACTGCAAAGAGGAAAATAACTACCTGCAGGCTGTAGTGTGGTGTGTCCCCAGGGACTTACTCCTTTAGATCTTCCCTCCGAGTCCTTTGTTTCTGCCCCTCCGGGGAGGCTGAGCAAGGCTGTATCTTGCAGATGTCTCCATTGAAATGCCAGAGGAGCTGGATATCTCTGCACTGCAGGGAACAGGGCTGCAAGATGGAGAAGAAGAGATGCCAGACATCGCACCCCCACTGGTGACACCAGACGAGCCCAAAGGTAGCCTGGGGTTCTATGGCAACGAGGACGACGACTCCTTCTGCTCCCCTCACTTCTCCTCTCCGACATGTTAGTGATTCTCCTCCTCTCTTCCTGATGCCTGACTCATTTCCTTGCTCTCCTTGCCTTGTCTGCCATGCTAGCAGTTTCCACCTGCTCAGACTTTCCTTGTCCCTCTGTCAGTGAATGCCAACTGCCTCCCTTGCATGCCTCTTGTACAAGGGTGTTATGCAAGGGAGTTTGTTGATTCCTCTTCTGTGGAAGATGGGGAGGTGGCATGCCTAGTGCATCTAGAAAGGACAGAGCTGGGGCTTATACAAAATTTAACTGGTAGAGGTATTTTATTTTCACAAAACACAGCGCGAGGTAGGGTTTGGAGGGTAGGGAAGAGCCAGTGCTCCCTAGTTGATGAGCCGAATCCTTTTGTTCCCCGCGATGCCAGTGTGTGCGGCTGCACTTCTGAAGAAGAAAGGTAGCAAAGGTTGAGAAAGAGCAGAGACAGAACTTGAGGGAAATGAAGCCAGGAAATGGCGGCTTGCTGGAGCTGTGTGACACTGCACAAAACCAGAGTAGGCAGGGCTGGGTGGGAGTGGGTGTCTCTAATCTCTGTCTTCCCACAGCGCCCATGTTGGATGAGTCAGTGATTATCCAGCTAGTGGAGATGGGCTTTCCCATGGATGCCTGCCGCAAAGCAGTGTATTACACAGGAAACAGTGGGGTTGAGGCTGCCATGAACTGGGTCATGTCACATATGGATGATCCAGGTACGAGCCCCCCCGGCCATGCTGAGGCTTATTGCATCTGCGCCGTTGTACTTCTTGTCCCACTACTGCAGTGGAAAACTGAAGTAGTTGGGACCTCCGACTGCGTCCCTCTTGGGGACACCTAACTGCTCTGAGCTGTGTTCTGTTTTCTGCTGCAGACTTCGCTAACCCTTTAGTTCTCCCTGGATCCAGTGGACCAGGGTCAACTATTGCCTGCCCAGACCCTCCTTCAGAAGACAGTGTGGCCACCATTGTCTCTATGGGCTTCTCCCGGGACCAGGCTATGAAAGCGCTTAGAGCCACGGTGAGAGGCATGGGTGACATCGGAGGGAAAGGATATTTTCAGGATCAGGGATTCCCAAGTTCACAGTCTTCTTCCTTCCAGAACAACAGTCTGGAGCGTGCTGTGGATTGGATCTTTAGTCACATTGATGACCTTGATGCAGAAGCTGCTATGGATATCTCAGAAGGGCGCTCAGCAGCCGAGTCCATCTCTGAATCTGTCCCTGTGGGTCCTAAAGTGCGTGATGGGCCTGGAAGTGAGTTCCACGCAGCAGGAATGTGAATTTTGGGGTGCAAACTCAATGTATCTTTGTCCTCATTATCCACGCAGTAGCACAGGTTTTAGCAGCAGCTGCCACAGAGCTGGTCTGGTTGTTTAGCAGCAAGGAGGAAAAGGAGAGGGATGGCAAAGTAGCATCTAGACCCTTCAGGCCAGGGATTGCCTGGAAGCCGGTAGGAGAAAGGCAGAGGGGGCATCACCAAGTGAAAGATGGGAAGGTCTGTGCTTCTTCCTGCTAGTCATCCCGGGCGGCTTTTCTGGTTTTCAAGCTCTCCTTGGAAAACCAGGTTCCAGGGTCTGTGCAGAATCGGTGCCAATGCTGCTAGCCTGCTGGGTGCTACAGGGAGGGGGAGTCTCTGCCATTACCCACCTGGCACCCATGGGCAAAACAGTTGGAAGAGAGAAGGCTTAAGTGGCAGTTAACCAGCTCAGGTTTCCCTGCATGTTTGGCCACCAGACCAAATCCTTGCACTCGCGCTTGACAGGGACCCACTTCGAAATGGTTAGGCAGCAGAGATTCCTTTAGGGATCGTTTTCTAGAGAGAGCCTTGCACAGGGTGTTTTGGGGTAAGATGCCTTTCTTTCTCTGATCACTCTTCCCTTCTCCTCTCAAGAATATCAGCTGTTTGCCTTCATCAGTCACATGGGCACTTCGACTATGTGTGGACACTATGTTTGTCACATCAAGAAAGATGGCAGGTAAGATGGATTTTCACAGCATAAGGGGACTCTGAGGTAGACCTTTAAGTCACTGGCTTCCCCTGTTTCTTCGGAGGTTTTGGGAGGTCAGGGGTGAGAGCAGACGGGGAATCAAGTACGGTCTTAGCCACAGAATGGTGTCCCTGAGCTCCCCTTTTGCCTCTTGCAGGTGGGTGATCTACAATGACCAGAAAGTCTGTGCTTCTGAGAAGCCCCCAAAGGACCTGGGCTACATCTACTTCTATCAGCGGATTCCCAGCTAGAACATCCTCTCGCTGTGTGTCGTGGGGGAGCGTGGGCTGAAGGTGTGGGGGGGAAAGGGATGGGGCAGTGAGGATGAGAGCCAGGGTCCTTCTCTCTCCTGCTCCTCTTTCCCCACTCATTCCTTCAGGAGACACGGGGGGAGACGAGTTCCCTGACTAAAGGACTGGGGGCTGGAGCCCCCGTGGAGAGGAGTGAAAGGGGTCTGGGGGGGGGGGTGGGGTGGGGGGGGTGGGAATACCTGTTTCTGTAGGAAATGCCCTCACTGTCCCCACCCCCGTGTGACACACAGCCCTAGTGCTTTGCTGCTTGGTGGGATGATGCCACCTCCTTGCTGTCTGGAAGGGGAGGAGGGGGCTTGTGTGTATGTGTGGCTTGTGTATGGGGGGGGGGGTTCCTCCTGCCTGCCCTGCAGGGCAGGCAGCAAGGTAGGCCATGAGCAGCGCCGCCGCGCCCCCCCCCCCCCCCCCCTTGTGTGCCCCTTTACATGCCAAAATACACGAGGGACAAAATAAAAGTCGAAATACCCACTGGTTTCTCTTTGCCCCCCGCGTTGCTGGGGGCGCTCCGGGCGCTGAACCACGAGTGGGTGAGGGGGGGGGGGTTGGGGTGTGAATAGCGCTGGTGCGGCAGAGGCTCCGCGCTCCCCGCGCTCCCGGCTGCGCGGCCCCGGCGCCTCGCCGGGCACCGCGCGGAGCCGCGGGGGCGGGGCGGGGCGGGACGGGCTCCCGAGCCCCGGCGGGAGGCGGGGCCCGCGAGGAGGCGGGGACTCGGGCGATAAAAACGGGCGCCGGGGCCCGCGCGCGCCGCCGCCGCTGCCGTTGACCTTCGGTTCTCCTGCCGGGCCGGATCCCGCCTTCCCTCTGCCATGGCGCCCAGGAAGTTCTTCGTGGGGGGCAACTGGAAGATGAACGGCGACAAGAAGAGCCTGGGCGAGCTCATCCAGACGCTGAACGGCGCCAAGCTCTCGGCTGACACCGGTGAGGGGGCGGCCGCACGTAGCGCACGTCCCGCGCGGCGCCTCGCGGCCCGGCCGGGCCGGGGGCCCGGGCCCGGGCGGGGGGGGGAGCGGCAAATGTCAGAGGGCGGCGGTGGGCCTAAATATAACCCGGCGGCGAGGCTAAATATACCCGCGACACCGGATCCGGGGCAGCGGAGGCGTGCGGCCGCCACCGCGTCGCCGCTGTCCGCAGCCCTGGGCGGCGGGGGCCCCGGGAGGAGGCCGCCCTGGCGGCTCCCGGCGGGAGCGGGCGGCCCGGTGCCGCCGCTGCCGGTCCCCCCGGCCCCCCGTCTCCCTGGGCCCCGCGCCTCTCCCTCGGCTTTGCCCCTGTCCCGCCCCGTGTGCTCCCGGTCCTGCCTCACGGCCGGGACCGGGGGGGGGGGGGGTGCGGAGCTCCGTGTTTCAGCCGAGCCGCGCTGGCAGGGGCGGGCGGCGGGGCCGTGCCCCCGCCTCGCCGCCGTGCCCGGTTACAGCCCCGGGTGTAACCCGGTGCTGCTGTCTCCCCCTCGGTGCAGTCAGGCCCGGGCAGCAGGGTGGGATTCATAGCCGGTTCCTCAGCTGAGCCCTTTCCAAAGGACCCGCGTGAGCCGGCCAAGGAGCCTGGCCGTCGGCCTGATACCGCCTGTCTGCCCGCTGGAAAGGGCTTCCTCCCTGCTGAGTCATCAGATAGGCAGAGATATTTCTGCTGCAGAGGGTCTCCCAAATGTCACTGAGGGTGAGAAGGCTGAGCCTTCCTAGGAGCAGAGAAGGGGAGAGAGGGATGACCTCTCGAGGCTGGGATTTGGGGTTGGCGGCTGGGTACCGTTTCTGCTCTTCGTCTGTCTCAAGGGTAACCACTTTTTCTGCCTTCCAGAGGTGGTTTGTGGAGCCCCCTCCATCTACCTCGACTTTGCCCGTCAGAAGCTTGATGCAAAGATTGGAGTTGCAGCACAGAACTGTTACAAGGTACCAAAGGGTGCTTTCACAGGAGAGATCAGGTGAGGCCAGAGGAGAGTAAAGCCAGGGTGTCTGGGACATAAATTTCCTCCAGAAGTGTGAATCGTTTCCTTTCTCCTCAGCCCAGCAATGATCAAAGATATTGGAGCTACATGGGTGATCCTGGGCCATTCAGAGCGAAGGCATGTTTTTGGAGAGTCTGATGAGGTGAGTGACCCTGGAGTGGAGAGATGGTTCAGCTCAGACGTGCCTGCAAATGCTGTAGGGGTAAGCAGTTAAAATATAACTACAGGAGTAGGTCTGACATGTCGGTTGTCTTGTTTCTTGTCCATGTCCAGTTGATTGGGCAGAAGGTGGCTCATGCTCTAGCTGAGGGCCTTGGAGTCATTGCCTGCATCGGAGAGAAGCTGGATGAGAGAGAAGCTGGCATAACGGAGAAGGTGGTTTTTGAACAGACCAAGGCCATTTCTGGTAAGGGAAGAAAATAGGTGCTTTTTTTTATTGCTTTGGATATTTGGGAAATGGCCGTCTTGGCCTTGACTGGAAGGCCACAAGGGACATTCTGGCCTTGTAAGGCTTGCAGATACATTGCTGCAAATGTTCATACACAATATTAACATGATCGTGTTAATAAAAGGCCTGCATGTTTCAGAAAATTTTTCAGCTCTACCCTTCCCAGCATGGGGTACTGTGCTTACCTATAACCTTCTCCCTCCTCCCCAGATAATGTGAAGGACTGGAGTAAAGTGGTCCTTGCCTATGAACCAGTCTGGGCTATTGGAACTGGTAAAACTGCAACTCCCCAACAGGTACGATCAAGGGAACGGTGGCTGACTTCAATGGCCAACTGACCCTTCCCACTCAAGAAATCACCCTGAAGATTCTCTCTGAAGACTAAAGATTCAGAGGAACTCTAAAGATTCTCTCAAATTGATTCTCTCTTCTCTTTGGAAGAGGGAATTGTATGCAGAATGGAGCAACACTCAGTGGGACTCTTTCATTGCAGGCTCAGGAGGTTCATGAGAAGCTGAGGGGGTGGCTGAAAAGCCACGTGTCTGATGCTGTTTCTCAGTCAACTAGGATCATCTACGGAGGTAAATGAGTCTGAAGCCCCTTTCCAGTGCAGGGAGCACTTTGTTTCTTTGATTGTCAGTGCGGTGGTATAGCATGCTCTGCTGGTGAGGAAACTCAAGATTGTCAGAGCATGAAGAACCACCTGCTAGCTTGTTTGGGTGAATGGGAGGCAGTCTCACTGTCTGCACAGTAAGAGGTAGCCAGTACCTTGCAGGTCTTACCTTTGCCCTGTCCCCGCTGTCTAGGCCTGGCCACATCTGACCTTAAAATACTCTTCCCTTCTTAGGTTCGGTCACGGGCAGCAACTGTAAGGAGCTGGCCTCTCAGCATGATGTGGACGGCTTCCTTGTTGGTGGAGCTTCTCTCAAGCCAGAGTTTGTGGATATTATCAATGCCAAACACTGAAGCAGCCTGTGAGGAACAGTCCCTTGTGGTTAAGAGCAAGAAACGGATGTAAGAAGGGACCTTTCATTGCACATGTCTCAGTACAGAGGCCTCCTCTGAGGCTTTTTCTGCTCCACGGTCATTGTTCTAGCTGTGCTGCTAACCCACCCCACCGTGCTGGAATCCTGTTAGTGGGAGCCTGTCTCTGCAGTCTTGACAGCCTCCTCTCTGAATTGGCAAAATCCTCGGGTGCCTGTTGACCTGGAAGAGCCCATAGTCAACCCGGCCAGTGCCTCCCCCTTTCTCTGCAGCACTGCAGGGAGAGGGGGCCACTGGTGCGGTGGGAAGGAAAAAGGAACCACAGTCTCTTGCATCCTTCAGCTCCATCAGCAAGGAGCCTGTCAGCTTAGACCCTTGTGAGATGTCTTGCCTCATCCGTGTCCTGTACTGAACAATAAATGAAAACAAGAAAAAAGCAAAGGCGTGTCCTGGATCTTACTCAGAAGCAGCTGGGGACAAGCAGTTTACAGAGTTTACTAGCAGAGAGGGTAGTGTGGGCTTTTTTTTTTTTTTTGAGGGCTCACCATTGCCCCCAGTAGGCTCCGCACAGGTTCAACCTGCATCTTGCTGTCCTAGGTTTCAACTGCAGCATGCCCTGAGCATCTTGCTTTCGGGCTCACGGTGGTTTGTGTGCACCTCTCTTACAGTAGCTGCTGGAGCACCTGGATGTCCCACGAGTGAGCTGGTCTTTCCAGGCAGGCTTCGTAACACACTCATTCCTACTTTTTCCCTGTGAGGACTGGTAATTGGCTTTGCTCATTAAACATGGAGCAGAGCAGCTCTGTCCTCCTGCAGGGAAGGTGTTCAGGCCATGTGCTGAGGTTGTGCTCGCTGCGTGCTTTCAACTCTGTGCCACTGGGTGAGAAAGCAGGACTTAGATCTTATTTCCCAGCTGTTCCACCGGCTAGGAGATTATTAGGTAGTACTAAGGGTAATGAAAAAGCAAGTGCCACACAAGGAGGAGCTTAGCTGTGAGGCAGTATATCCTTGGGGGACTATGAGCAGTGCTCGGCGTGGAGCAGACACGCGAAGGGGCACTTGGTCTCTTAATGCACAGCTGAGAGATCCTCTTCCATTTCACGTTTCTGGTCTGCAGTAGTTCTTGCAGCTGTGGCATGTTCCTCCCCTGGTATTCCGACTGTCAGTGTATTGCCCTGCCAGCATCACCCGAGGGATGAAAGGTAGGAGGTGAGGGACCAAGGAGGAGAAAATCCTAGGAAACCCACTCATGCTGCGAGCAGGAGGAAACCCTCCTACACCGCTAACGTGCTGCGGAAGGGGTTCCTCCCTCCCAGCTGGGAGGGACGGGGAGGGAAGAGCCCCCAGCCCTTCAGAGGACACCTCCTTCCTGGCTGGTGCCCCTTCCTCAGCAGGAGCCTTTTGGGGAGGCGCCGTGGTACCGGCTGGGCCAGCCCTCGCTCAAATGGCGCTGGGAGCGGTTGTGGAGGGGGGCTGGGGGGAGTAATTGCAGTTGGGAAGCACGGGGTGGTGGGCCCCGGGCATAGAAGCGTGTCTGCTGGGAACTTCTCGTGATGGAGGAAGGCACAGCACGTAGGGAAGGGTGTGAGCTAGCCTGAGGAGGAAGAGCCTGACTGCGGCACAGAGATTGACTGCTACTAGCTCTCGGTGCGTGCAGTGTGGTGTGGGGAGGAGGATGCCTTGAAGGCCACAAAAAAAAATGCTGAAAACTCTGTGGTTTCTACCATCAGAGTGTTTCTGAGAGGCTGCTGGGGCATGGCTGTAGTTTGGTGCCTCGGGGCCCTGGGGTCAGCATCAGTGGTGACGTGCTAGGGACAGCGGGTAGGCAGGATCGCTCCTGGGGCTGCAGCTCCACCGCTGGCTCCCACTCCTGACCAGCCCTGCCCACAGAGCTAGGCAGGAGCCCAGGAGAGTGACCTACATAGGAAAAAAAAAAAAAAAAAAAAAAAAAGGCACATAGATGAGAGCTAAGCATTGATCTCGGTGCTTTGAGGAGAATACAGAGGCATGAAAGCACTCATTTAATGAGGAATAAACTCATAGAAAATCATTTCTTCATCGGCAGGAATGCCAAATCTTGTTTTTCTTCTTTTTGTCTGCTTTCTGGCAGGACCACAGCCCTGTGGAGTGGAAATACTGCCCGATCCTCATTCCAAATTGTAGTGGTTGGATCTTAAATGCGTTGCTTTTGGGAAAAATACATTGTGCCAGATGTGACGGCCTGAGAGAGTCGGCTGTGGCTCCATGTCCTCGGCCACAACCAGTAGCCAGGCTGAGCTTGTATTCATTCCCAGTAGGCACCCACGCACAAACACATACGTACCACATATATACATGGATGGTCACACAGATAACACTGCTGGCCACACAGAGCACTCAAATTAACACAGCACCAGCGGCCTCATCCCATCCCCTCCTCTGGCTGAGCAGGATGGAGGTGCAACTAGTAAGCATGCATACATATATATATATATATATATGAGTGTATTTATTAATATATATACATACACACACACGTATGTACAGTGTGGCTCCCTCCAGCAGCTGGGCTCAGACAGTCTGCCCAGTAGCTGCCCCTCAACCCCAGCCTCTCCAGTCCCCCTGGTTCCCCAGTAACCAGCTCCCTTGTGGTGCTCTGGACCCCCAGACACCCCCCAGACCCTCCAGCCTCTTTGGCAGCTGCCGGGACTCCCTGGGACCCCTCAGCAGAAATCTGCTCTGTTGCAGCCCCCTCCTGACCCCCAGGCCCCCTTGCCAGCTTCTCCAGCTGCATCCTCGCTTCTGGTCACCCCCTCACCCCCATTCTTAGTGCTGCCCCATGTGCATGAGTCCCAGCCCCTGGAACCCATATCCCCCCCATGCCCCCTGCCTGTGGTAACAAGAGTCCCTCACCCAGAGAAAAGTACAAGAGGAGTTTAATGAGAAGATGGGACAGGTTGCGCTGATCATGTGCTGCAGGGCATGGCCAGACCATCATAAACCATTTAGATGCAACCAGTCCTTTTTATTCCCATATCCCACTGTTCTCCCACACTTGATCCTCCACAAATCACCCTTCCCCTTCCCACCTTTGGTTCCTCCTCTAAATTTCCCCTACTGAGTCCTGTGCGATCCCAAACATTCTTCCCCTGCATTGCATTGTGTGTCCCACACCCCTGTTCGCAGCAACCACCCCAGCCCTAAAGGTGCTGTGGAGCTGAGGCTCCACGGGGACAGCCCTGGGACCTGGACAGGGTGTCCCTTCCTCTGAGTCCTTAATTTGGGTTCCTGCCTGCCACGGTGCCCCTGTGCTCCTCGAGATGGGCCTTTGGTGGGCTGGTGGCTCTCGGGATGGGCCTGGGAGCAGCCTGGCAGGGTGCTGTTTGGGATCCTTCTGCCATCAACTCCCTGTGCTCCTTTGTGGGTGTGCAGGCAAGCTTTTGTCACACAACCTCCTTAATGATCTGTATAGTTATATTTGGCACCTTTTTTTACATATATATAAAACATAAATAAAATTTCTCTCTTTTAAAGATTCGGGTTTCCTTGTATAACTTCCTGTTTCTTGTGTGTTCTTTAGTTATCTAGAAACAAGGCAATTGAGCCATATGTTACTGTTGCAAGACCATATGAAACGTGCATAGAGGCACACACAACTTCTACCATTCCATTCTTTAGCATAAAGGGATGTGGGACAGGAAGAAAAGCATGTCATCACTTTTTCTCCAGCAGCAATTTGCTGAAGGGCTCCTTAAAGCCTCTGAAAGCAAAGGCAAGAGGAGCTGGAGTGCTTTATGTGAAGATGGGTTTTTCTGCAGGGGCTATAGCAGAAACCCACATCATATGCAGGTTAATGACCAGAGAGTGAATTCAGATGGGGCAAGTGTAACACAGAAGAGGCTGGCACCAGGGAGCCAAGCAGGACAAGGCAGGGGACACGGGTGGCATCACAGAGGTGTGCTGTGGAGTGGGGGTAACATCTGGCAGACATGCTGGGAGACTCATATTTGAGGTTTCTGTGTTCAGCTCAGCTTGGACCAGCTTATCTAACACTGATGTTTCCCCAGGGGCTGCAAAGGAGCAAAGTGCACTGGAGGGAAAGAGAGCAGGACCTTGGATTTTGGTCTCAACTGCCAAAGGCTGGCAGCTGTCAGCTCCGAGCAGCATTCCCAGCTGGTAAACACCCAGCTCTGCTCGGCAGCCGATGGGGGCACAACAACCTGCCTGCCCAGGGGTGCCAAAGCCGGGCAGGCAGCGGATGGCACCTGGTGGGCCCTGGCAGCCTCAGCCCACCCCGGCTCCCCAGCCTGGCGGAGAGGGCTGAAGCAGTGTCACCTTGCAAGGGGTTCGGACACCGTACCCTACAAGTCACTTCCTGGCATCCAGGAGATTGCGTCGTGGGAGGTTTCGTGCAGAGCCCAAGCCTAATTCCGCTCAACATGTTAATTAAACATTTACTAGAGGGTCTTTCCCCAAAGATGTTCGCCACCTGAATGACCACCACCCTGTGCAGCTCAGCCAAACTTTGAAGCCAGCCCCATTTTGAGCTGGGGGGTGGATAGGATGACCTCCAGTGGTACCTTCCCAACGAAATGATCCATCAGTCCTCTGGATACACTCCTAGTAATTGCGAATGTCACCCATCTAGGAAGAGCTGGGAGCACTTGAGAAGGTAGAGTAGGATCACAAAGTGCTTCTGATGAAGGCGAGACACGCTCTGAGCTTTCCACGTGGAATTTAATACAAAAAATGACAAAGCTGTTGCAGTCGGAGCAGCAAACTAACACAAGCAGTCAGCCAGGAGTATTACCAGCGGGATGATGAAGAAATAAACCATGTGGAGCTTCCCTGGCCAACGAATGGCAGATCGGCAGCATCTGCATTGCTGCAGGAAATTAGAGCGTTAGCTGCAGATGCACTAACTGGAACAGTGTCAGTGGAACATGGTAAGTCTCTTTTTCGGGAGGTCTGCTCAGGGATGGCAAGTCTCTGGATTTCACATTTGCCCTGCCTGAGGCAGCACAAAGGCCCGGGATTCCAGACCAGGGGTAAGAGTGGCGAGAGAAGGGGTGTCTCTGGGAAGGCCGCGGGGGTCAGGCCTGTGTGGCTGAGGGAGAGGCCCAGCGCGCTGGCAGCTCCGTGCGGCCTCGCGCAGCGCCGCCGTTCCCGCCGCGGGAAACGGCAAGCTCCGCCCCGTCCCGGCGCTGTCGCTCAAGCGCTGTTGCTATGGCAGCGGCGTCGGGCCCCTCCTCCCCCCCCCCGGTTTCCATGGCAGCGGGGCGCCGCGGCCCTTGCAGCCCAGGGCGGCGGCCGCGGCCGGGCCTGATGGAGCTCTCGCAGCGGGGTGGGAAGCGCGGCCTGTGAGGATGGAAGGCGAGGAGCAGGACGGGGAGGAGGACACCCTTCAAGAGGAGGGGAAGGAAGGAGATGAGGAAGAGGAGGCGCTGTGGAAGCAAGAGGAGGAAGAACAGGTGAGGCGGGGGGGCCTCAGCACCCTCTGGCTGCGGTTAGGCCAGCGCTGGCCTTGTACTCTCTCCTTCCCTCCCAGGTGCTGGCCCCGTGTCCCCTGACGGAGGAGGTCCTGAAGGAGGGCCTCTCTCTCCTCAGTAAGACCGGCAATGGCCTGGCCCACGCCTTTGTGAAATTTGAAGCCAAATACAAGTGAGTGTGCAACACCTGTCCCAGGAGAAGACCTCCTCCTCCCTGGGCATCTGTGTGTGGCTACAGCTGTGCCATAAGGGCACTGGTGACTGACCGTGTGGGGCAGAAATGTTTCCAGGCCATGTTCTATGACTGACTGGATTCCAGTCTTCTGTGCTTCAGCACAGTTGGTCCATCCTCAGCCCTGAGCCTGGGGCTGCCTCCACTGTAGCCGGACGCGCAGGTGGGAATGTCAGTGTCGTCCTCAGTTGAGAGGAGCCTGACCCGTTGCTCAGAACTGTGCTGTCCTAGGGGGACCTGAACTGGGTGACTTTCCCACAGTCACTTTGAGAAATATCCATTAAGCATCTCTCTTGTTAACTGCTAACCTTTAAGGCATGCACTTGTAGGTACAGTGCCACAATGGCCTGGGGACAGTTTGGAGCCTCACTCCCATCAGTACACCCAAACAACTGTAGACCTAACAGGCCTCAGCGACACTATGTTTTTCACCAGCCTCACAGGTATCTTGACTGTTTTTTTCCTACTAGGAAAGTCCTTCCACACAATCTTTCGTATTACCACTACTGTCTGACAGACCCATCCCCCCAATTTATCCTCTTTTCTGTTCTGCTTCTGCCCCCTCCTGACAGCTACAGCTTAATGGGAACTTGCCTGTGCCAGGAAAGCAGGTCCACTCCTTAGCAGCCGGCCTGGTTTACAGACTATCCAGGCTGTCCTTATCACCTGCCTTTTTTGTCTTTCTCTCCGGCAAGGCTTCCTAGGAGAGCCAGGAAGTGGGAGAGGAGCTTGCGCTCCCAGTACTGGTGAGGAACAAACTGAAAGCTGGTAGCAGGGGGAAATATGGGATGTTTTATTCACATTCTTCCTCCCACAGGGACTTGACAGACATCAGCCTCCTTGAAAGATTCATTCACCTGCGGTATGTGGATTTGTCAGAGAACAGGCTGAGAGATTTATCTCCACTGAGCAGCCTAACCAACCTGCTTTGGCTGAAGGTGGATGGGAATCTGCTTACCAGTGCCTGCATGCAGGAGCTGCCCTACCTCCAGATCATCAGCTTTGCTCACAACCGCATCAAGGATATGGAGGGCATTACTCACCCCCACTTAGCCAACCTTAGCCTGAAAGGTGATACAGACCACCTCTCCTCATTCTTGTGCACACAGGACACTTTCTTTGGGTGGGATTGATTCTCACGTTGTTTCTTCCTTCTCTGGCACTCAGGAAATAAAATCCAGACAGCGCAGGGTCTGAGTCATGGCCAATTGTTCAGCTTGCAAATCCTGGAGCTGCGAGAAAACAAGCTAGAGAGCACAGCAGGGCTCAATCTTCCCAAGCTCAGGAACCTCTATCTGGTAAGAGGTCAGCCAGCATGGGGAGTGGGACAGAGCAGCTGCAGAGCCTGGCACCTCCAGTCAGTGGGAGGAAGAGAGGTGCTATCCCCTTCAAAGCAGCATCATTTTCATTCTAGCCCCTTCAGTTCAATCTTCTCAGTCTGATAAACGGACAGATTTCAGAGAGCTAAAGAGGCAAAATAATTTTTTTGGGGGTAGCTCCTACACTGTCTGCCCAGGTGGTGTGAAGGGAATAGCCACTGACCAGTAATTTCACTGCAGAGAGCGGGGCAGTTGGCAGCACTCAGTGCGTCAGGTTCTTCCCTCCCAGCCTCCTGCAGGAGAGCAGTATTCTCTTCGGGCAGTGTTAGGAAAGATTATATTCCGTGTGCCCTGAGACCCCCAGAGGTCAGTGGAGAAAGCAAGAGCTTTGGTCTGGATGACAGGGAGGGGTGATGCTTCTTTCTCCTCTCTGATGAGCCTAATCAAATACTGGTTTAAAATCAGCACAATTATATGACACCTTCATCTGCCAAAAAAGAACCTGATTGAACATCACAGTGAAACTAAAATAAGAGAAGCAATTTCCTAATACCATAAACAATTGCTTTAGGGAACATTTACTCCTAAAGATGTAAGTGAAGAAAGTATGTATGACTTAGCCCCACGCATCACACAGTGCCACAGCTTGCGAAGACTGGATAGGTGTCCTGAGTCACTACCTCTTAAAAAGCAATTAAAGATGATAAAGGGTTTGAAAAGCTTTCTTTTCATCAAGACTCCCTGGCAGAAAACACCAGGAAGAATGCCTGCTGAGATTGCCTGCAATTTTCTGGTAGAAAACTGAGATTTCAGGACTAGACATGCTGGAAGAAGGGATGAAGTAGATAAGTCACTAGATACAATACAGAATTTCAAAATAAAACCAGTCACTTTAGTGAATGATTGGAGGGAATCAAACACAGCACCTATATTTAAAGAAGGTTCCTGGCATGATTGAGGAATTTCTGAGCTGCTCATATGAAGTGGGCAAATTTCAAGACATGATTATTAAAACTAGAACAACTGACTCATTTCCCAGGAATCTTTGGGGCTTGAATTTGTCTCTCATGTCTACCTGCTCACTAAAGAACTCTGGAGGGGTATCTCTCCCAGTAGCGCTTTGCTCTCTGTATGAATATTTTGGTATTACTTGAGCCATGGGTAAATGTAGCTGATGCCTCAAGGACACGGTTCAAGACAAAGGGTTCAATTTAAAGGATCTGAACCAAATTTGGTTAATGTGTGACATAGTTGCAGAATAAATTTAGTGTTAAAAATGTTATACCTACTAGCAGGAACACTATGAGCTGGCAGTGCTCCCTGTGGCACTTGCATCAGTTTGAGGATCACTGCTGTCTGTAGGGCTGTGTTGGTTCTTGGTCATTGTGCCGCAGTGTTAACGAAGGCTGGCTAGAGGAGGGCCAGGTATGCAGGAAGGGGAGAGGGAACCATGGGGAACATATTATAGTAGCTTTCCATAAGAAAAGGTGGCATCACATCCATGTGAAGAACTGGTGTCTTAAGGAAAGGTTCACTTAATTAAAGGCATCATATGGGATGTTACTTGATTTAGGGGAAAGAAAAAAAAAAAACAAAAAACCAACAACAGCTGAAAAAAATCTATTCTGCATTGTCCTGTTAGTGGTTGAGGGGCCAAAGCAGTTAAAAGCACTGAAGTAATGAAGAAAGTGAGAGTGATGGGAGGTTACTATTCTTTCATTACCAGTGGTCTGTGAGCTCCCCACCCTGTTTCCCACACTAGCTCCTGATTTCCTCTGAGGTACAATGTACTAATCCTTCCTGACTGTTAAATCTGTTCACGTGACCTTCGCTAAATCTCCAACTTCCCTCTCTTTGTCCTTGTGTTACCCTCTTTACTTGGCCCAGCTGGTCCAGACTCCGCTTCCTTCAATTTCCATTAAAATCTGCCTTTTCTACAAAACATTCTTTCCCTGAGCGACCCAGTCCTGAACTGTTCTAACCCACCAGTTCAGCCTGTGCCCCTTTTATTAGTCTCAGACGTTGGCCACGTCACTGCCTGGGTGCCAACAAGGGACGGAGAGAGCACAACAGCACCTCTCTCCCTGTTTCCCATTCAGGTATTTACGTTCTGAGAGACTGCAGCCCTGAGACACAATTGCAAGTGATGCCCTGCTCGGCTCCAGGCTGGAGAACGTGGCAGGGCTGTTGTAGTTACCAGGGATTTTCCAAACTTGGCTGCACAAGGCGACGAGCAGCCTGGCCTAGCATTGGGGCTGGCCCTGCGGTGGGCCCAGGCTTGGGCCAGAGACCTCGAGTGGTCTTTTCCAGCTGAAATCCTGCTGTGAAACTATTGCTGAAAGTTAGAGCTTCGTATTTCCCTGTCTCATGACTCCCATCACACTGAAGTGAATGAAATTCAATGATGGGGAACTTCCAACTGATAGGGCACGTTCTTCCTGCTGTACAATTGTCAGATTTGTTGCAGGAAGGTTCACCTATGGATGGGTAACAACACTTACACCTGGAAAAGCTCACAGAAGAGTAGACAAGGAGACTTGATGGCAGTAGGTTTCCCCCCACAAGAGAAATAGCTGTCACTGGAAGATCCCTGGACTAGCTGGACTATGTGACTGAGAGGGGCTGGTTATTCATCCGTTAAATACACTTGTTTCAGGCTTGGGTCCATGCCTTCCTCGCCACGCTGTTGCTCTCTGAGGTCTTAGGGGCTCAGATTCAGCACTGTCATGGAAGAGAGTGCTGTGCTGGCTTCACCTGGGGTGGTTTTGTCTCAGTCATCAAGTGATGCTGCAGGAAATACTTTTTCAACAAACTTTTGGTCCTTGAATCTGAACACTTAGAACCCATTTGGGCAAGACCCCGAGCAACCTGATCTGGCTTCAGAGAAGGCTGTGTTGAGTGGTAGGGAGTCTGAAGGGTAGAAAGAGCTTTAAAAAACAGAAATAACTGCTGTTCGCTCTCCTGTGTGTCCCTTTTGTCCTTCTCTCCCTGCCTCCCCGCTGCTCAGGCCCAGAACAGCATTCGGAGCCTTGAAGGCCTCGAAGGGCTAGGGCAGCTGGCAGCTCTGCACCTGCGTGACAACCAGCTTGAGACCCTGGATGGATTCTCTAGTAGCATGAAGTGTCTGCAGTACCTCAATCTACGGTAGGTCCTCCCTGCTCTCTGTTGGGATCAGAGACCCCTTCATCAGGCTGTACTCCCTTTTAGATCTTTGGGATTTTTCTGGTTTCTCTGGAAGTTGAATACCTGATGGGGATGGATTGATGTTCAGCACTTAGCTGTCTAGGAGTATAACAGCCAGGGCCTTTCCTGGGCTTCTCAGAAAAGATCTCCCTCTCCAGTCACTCTCATACCCCACCTCATACATTTAATTCCTTGCCATAACTCTTTGGATCCCTCCTACCGTGTTCTCTGTGTCCCAGACATGACTGCAAGTGCCCTTCTTGGCATTTGCCGTACGGGGCAGTGGCGATATCACACAATTCAGTGGGCTGTTGGAGCACAGAGAAATCCAGAGGAGATGTCCTTTTTGTCCCTCAGTGTGGGGAGCTGCAGACAGATCTGGATCTCAGATCACAGGCCTGTGGTCTGAGGTCTACTGTCCATCATGCTGCTCAGTTTTGCTTTGTCTTGTCAATTTACTGCTCTGAAGGGATCTCACTACTTGCATGTGTCTCTTTCCCCCACTCTGTGCTTCCTCTTCTTCAGGAACAATGGGATCAGTAGCCTTCAGGAGGTTGCAAAACTGCAGGTCCTCCCCATGCTGCAGTCACTGGTGCTGTTGGACAATCCGTGCTCTGATGAACCTAATTACCGGCTGGAGGTCCTGGTCCTGCTGCCGCACCTGCAACGCCTTGACAAGGAATTATTTGAGCAAGATGAACGGGCGGAAGCGAATAAAATCCGTCAGAAAAGGCAGGAAGAAGAAAAGGTGAGAAACAGCACGGTGGGGGGAGGAGAAGGAAGTGGAGGGAAAGAGAGAGGATCAAATATGCTGATCAAACCTCTCCTCCTCCAGATTACATGAGGAGAAGGCTGAGGGAGGTCAGTCCCAAGGGCAGAGTAGCCTGAAACAGAGAGCGGGCTTCACAACCTGATTGTGATGGCCAGCATCACAAGCCCGACTGCCATTCCTGACCCCACTAGCAGAAATGAGCAGTGAAAGGGGGAAAAGAAGTTGGGCATGGAGTCATTTACCTGCTCCCTCTTTCCTTCCTCAGGAAATGGAAGGATCTCTCCAGGGTGATGTGACTGAGTGACCCCTGGTTTTAATACTTGTTCCCTGACCCAGTCAAGATTTGGAGATGCCCTTCCCCACCTGTGGATGGGAAGGTGACAGCTGTATGTACCAGAGCTACCCTCACCTCATTTTGCCCCTGAACAAAAGAGGAAGGCTACCCACCCTGATCCTGGATGCTGCCTTGAGGGACTGCAGTGTTTTTGCAGTCACTGCACTCATATGCTCTAGTCTCAGTATGCCCGAGAGGGGAAAGGGGAAAGGGGAGAGTGATGGGTTCTGTGGTTGGATTTATGGCTCCCAAAAATCCGACAAGATTTTCTGATTCGAATAAAAATAATTAATGAGCCTGGAGTGACTGGAATTGTTTATCCTGCGCACCTACTCCTATTCCCTGGCTCTATCACCCTCATCTGTCTGTGTCTATCCCCTGTCTGTCTGTCTGTCTCTCTCTCTCTCTCTCCATCTTCTACGTGCTGTTTGCAAAGCTTTGCTAAATCCTGACTCATCGCAGCTCTGGGTCACATGCTGCTGTCCCGGCCCTATCAGGGGCGTCTCCATCCTGCTGCCGCCGCCACTGTTGGCTTAGAGGACACATCATCTCCCCTGGAGGTCCTGCATTCCTCCTCAGCTTCGTCCTCTCTCCTTTCCACCAGCACTTCCTCAATCTCTGGTTCACCCCTGCCCCAGGAAGGTAAGTGTTTCCCCACAGCCAGCACCGCCCCCCCCCCCCCCCCCCGCATGCATGTTTCTGCTCCCCACCCTGTGCCCTCCAAACCCCACACGCACTTTGGGGTCCCTGCGGAGAAGGAGCACGGTGAGCGGCATTAACAACTAAACTCCCCTCAGTAATTCCTCCCCCTGCTCCTCCCACCTCTTTCTCCTCACACACACCCCCCCCCCCCCCCAACGCCCCCCTTCTCACTTTTCTTTCATATTTTAATTTCAGGTACTCCCTCCTCCCCTACCCCCAGCAAGCATCCTTTCAGATGTGAACCTAGGGAATTGCAAGGAAGGGGGGCAACTAGCAAGGTGCTCCCAAGGGCATTGCCGGGAGATGCTGCGGGATGGGGGGGTGGTAGTGGGCAGGAGGCGAAGCTCAGTTCGGGCACTGCTGGGGAAAGGACACAGCCTCAGAGCAGCCCCCCCTCCCGCCCCGCCGCCTCCCCCGGTGTTGATATAAACGCAGGTGCTCAGCTGGGTCCCGGGGAGAGGGAGGGAGGAAAGGAGACGTCGTCTTATCTGCACAGCCCCACGCTACACACGGGAAGGGGTGGGGGGGTGGGAAGAGCAGGGGGAGGAGGTGACAGCCAAGCAAGCACTTAGCTGCATCAGCCACGACACTGCAGCAGTGCGGGCTTGCTGGGAGCACTGCCCAGCCCCGGGGGGAATCGCAGCAGCAACACGGGAACGGGTGGCTTGGGGGAAAGGTCTTCACCATGCCGGCCTGCCTGGTGGGGAGGGGAGCTGCTGCAGCATGAACTCCAGTGAGGCAGTGCCCTTGCAACGTGCAGTGCCACAAAGCTGTGCCCACGGGAAGGCACTGCAGCAGAGCCGGTCTCCCAGGGTGTTGTGCCCAGCCTCCAGCCTGGCTCCTCTCTTCTCTTCACCGTGGTCTGTGGGCTCCCGACTACGGCTCCATCCCAATCCCTTATCCTGGCTTATCCGCCTCTGACCTCCTTTCAGGACAGTGCAGCTGATGTCAGGGATTTCAGGGTGGTTCTTTGCGCTGTTCAAAGGAGGGCAAACGCAAGGGAACACGGGGCAGCAATACAAGTGGAGGAAAGGGTTTAAAGGACTGGAGAGGAGAAGGGATCAAGTAAGTGATGCGGTGGGGCAGGCAAAGCTGGATTTGGGTTTGTCACTTGGCTTCCTCAGAGCTGGCCCTAACAGGGGCAGGTGGATGTGGGTAGAGGGATGTGACCACAGGCAACATGACCACATAAGCAGAAAGGCACTGCATCTGGCACGGGTCTTGCTATCAAAGATTATTTTAATGGGGTCCTGTTCCTCTCTCCCCTGCGAGGCTGTCGGGGCATGGCCAGGGCACTGCTGCAAAGGAAGCTTGCAGCTGCACCGGCACAGCTCTGGAGGAAGTTCCTGTGGTGTGTGCCAGATGGCACGAGGAGTGCTTGCCAAAGCGGCTGATGGGGGGATCCCAGCCCAGATGGACATGGTGGAGGGCCCTGCACAGTCTCCAGAGCGCCCTGGCGTCTCTAGCTGAAACTCCCCTCTATGGGAAGCCTTTGCTGAAACTTTAGAGCAACGTTACGTTCTCATGCCCGCGTGATTTCCACCTGCCCCAGGCAATGGGGTTGGGAGCCAACTCCAGCTTCACCCAGCCTGCTTCTCAGCTCCCCTCAGTGCTGTGCTATTTGCAGCACCCCGCCACTGCACAGCTCCCCACCCTGTGCTGGCCCCCTGCGCTGGCCATGCACTTGCACACACCACGGTGTGGTTCTGGCTGGGGCCTCGTGCTTTCCACAGGCCTGACCTCTGCACTGAGCTTTGCAAGGGTCTGGCCCTGCTCAGGGTTGAGTGGGAGCTGCGGGAGGAAAACCTGGCGGGACTGGGTGCGTGAGGTGACATGCACCTCACTGCTCCGCCCTCTCCGGGGGGGATGCAGCTCCCCGGCTTCATATGGCCCCATGGCCAGGAGAATAAGAAGGTGGGATGAGTTATTCTGGACCCCCTAGGGAGCAAACTTCAGCAGGAGAAGCTTTCAAACGGCTGTCCTCACCCACCAGCCTGTTTTCCACTTCGGATTTAACCAGGCGCCTCAAAATGCCAGGTTTCCTCACCCTTCTCACCTGACAGAGCTGCCTCCTGGTCTCGTGTGTCTCCCCATCTCAGGAGCAGAGCGAAGAGTCAGGCGCTGGGCCCAATCCCTCCGTTTGGGCAGGGCCAGGTGCCCCTTCTCTTCAGAGCCCTTTCTCCCGTGCCTGAGGCACTGCAGCCTTCAGCAAGATGGCTCCTCCAGCTGCCGGCCTCCTCCGCAGCCCCATCACCCCGACGCAGCCTGACCCAGCAGCTCACGGTGGTGGTGGGAAGGCCGAGCCAGGCACTCGGGCTGAGGGATTACGGCTGGGGTCTGCGGGAGCTGGGCCGGGGCAGCTCCCCTCACCGCGGGCCGGAGAGGGGCCGAGAGTCACTGCGGGCCCGCCGACACGACACGCTGCCCTGCCTGGCTCTGCCTGGCTCTGCCCTCGGAGCAGCGGCTGCTGGATTCCTGCCCGCTGCCTATGGACACGGCGGCCCCGCCGGGGACCGTCCTCCCCTCCTGGCGAGGGGAAGGGAGGCGCTGGGAGCCGGTGCCCCGTCCTTGGTGCCAGGGGCCGGGGTCACCTCCTGGCTGCGCCAGCTGATCCCTCCCTCTCTGCTGGCCGTGGATGCTGCCTCACCCTCCCCGGCTCTGCCATCCCGGCTCCTATCAGCAGCCATGAAAAGGGGCAGTCCTCAGCCATGGCACAGGGAGAGAGGGAGAGAGAGCTTCCAGTTTGTCATCTGCAGCAACGGAACAGAGTAAATGCGAATAGATGATCAGTCCCTCAGCAAAATGTGGGGAGGTTCCCACAATCTGGGTTTTAATAGCAATTTCTAAATTTCCTTGAGCCAGTAGTTTTAACTCCAGCTCCTAAGGTTGCTCTTCCTCGAGCTTCCTTCTCTCTGTCAGTGTCTCGTCTAGACATTAGATGGGTGAGCACCACATCCTGGGGCCTCTCGGAACTGAATGCGTCCTGGTCCTGTCCTCTCCTCTCTTCTTCACAGACTCACCATGGCAGTCGAAAGGATCCATGCCCGCGAGATCCTGGACTCCCGTGGGAACCCCACCATTGAGGTGGACCTGTACACACAGAAAGGTACGCAGACAAGGATGAGGGAAGGAGGGGAAGTCCTGCCCACCCTGGCAGAGCTGGCGCTGCACAGCAGCCTGGCACGCTCTGCCAAGAGCATGGGGGGTCTTCTCCAGTGAAATCCTGGCAGACAGCAAGCCAGGGGAAGAGGCAGAGACTTGGGTGCTTGTGTATCTGATTTGACCTGTGTGCCTGTTGGTAGCAGGGACAGAAAGTTTAATTAATATAAATACATTTACCTTCTTGTCATATCCCCACAATGCCCTGCTGCAGCTATGTTTGTAGTTCTGGGACACAGTACGAGTTTTTAAACGCATCCATGACCGTGCTCTTGAAGCGGGAGAAGGTTTGTCTCCAAGATCTCTGTGCAGGCACGTACACGCACGTGTGCCTCAACTGGAAGAGCTGCGCCTGCGCTGGGCCCAAAGCTAGGTGCACTGAGGCGTGAGGGGTCAGAGCAGGCATCCAACCAGCCTCTTCCTTCTTCACCAAGGTAGAAACCCAGCCCCGGCCTGAGCGGGAGGAAGCCACTGGCAGCTGTGGGTTGGGATGCCTCTGGAACCAGGAGGAGGGCTGAGGAGCCAGGCTTCCACCCATCATCTGTAGTTCCGTGATCAGTGTGGACCTCTGGGCACCCGAGATCCCGGTTTCTCAGTCTGGAGGCCCTGGGTGCGTTTATTGCTGCCACCCTCCTGCTCCACCTCTGAGAAGACCAGCCAGCCAGCGGGGCCAGCTGTTTGCACGAGCGGTTGCCAGATCCTTTCCCATAAAAGCAGGGCAGAAGCAGGTGCATGAGGGTTCTCCCCCCTTTTCATCCTCTGCTCATCTCACATCTGCGTTTTGCTGTTTCCCAGGCATGTTTCGAGCCGCGGTCCCCAGCGGTGCATCCACTGGTATCTACGAAGCGCTGGAGCTGCGAGACAATGACAAGTCACGTTTCCTTGGAAAAGGTGGGGAGGTGCCTGCTCTGTACCCTTATCCCTGGGGCTGCCCGGGCACGGGGCTCTGCCAGAGGGTACCGCTCATCTGCTGGTGTGATGTGGATCTGTCCCACTGCCCTCACGGAGACCACAGAGGCACAGACCTAGCGTTAAGTGAAAGATCAGGCCTTGATCTTCCCCTGCTGTCTCCCTCTCTCAGTCTCTCTATTGGTCCTCTCCCTCCCTCTTTCCACTCTCCTCTTTGCCTCACCCACTCTCTCTCTCTCTTTTTCTCTGTCTCTTCCCTTCTTTAGGGGTCCTGCAAGCCGTGGATCATATCAACAGCACTGTTGCCCCAGCTCTCGTGGGCTCTGTAAGGATTTCTCTTTGTTCTCCCTTGTCCAATGCTTATTCTGGTCTGTCTCTGTCCCCCGATCTCTGTTTCTGCCTCTTTTCATCTCACTGGGTTAACAGACACAGTGATGCTCTCTGTGAACCTGGGCACACCCCTCCTGCCCTCCGTGCCTGTATGTGTGCGCAGTGATTTTTTTTCTCTGGGTGGAAAGGATGTAACGCTACC